GCCGCCCGACTGAGTCTGGTTTCTCCCAAGGTTTTTTTGTCCATTCTCCCACTGATGGAGTTTTGGTTCCTTGCCACTGTGGCCCGTTTCCACCTTTTTTGCCATTGGCTTGGCTTGCTTAGTTGGGGACATTAACATTTAATTTAATATTCAACAATAATATTGATATGCCTGCATTGACACTATTATACAAGAACTGAACTTAGCTGGACGATGACATCACAGTTTACTATATATTCAGTTACTGTATATAAATTAACTAAATAACTTAAAAAAAACATCACTGAACTTAGCTGGACTGTGACAATATTTTCTTCAGAGCGGCTATGCAAATTAAAACTTATGCAGAAATACGACGGGACAGACTCGATAGAAAAGACTCATTGTTGGAACTGAAATGCACATATAACCTGTACAACAGAGTAATTGAAGTCTTCTTGAGGAAAGAAATAAGGATGGATCAGTGTAACGTACGGACAGAGACGGTCGGATCCATGTGCAGCACTTTATTAAAACAGGCAGACATGAAAACTGGCAAACACTTAAACAAAGGGGCAATCCAGAAACTCGTGGTCTAAACAGGCAATGGTCGAGGCAGGCAGCACAGGTTCGAGAGCAGTCCAGGAAACAGGCAAGGGTCAAGAGTCCAGGGAAACACGGAGACACAGAACAGGGAATAACGCTCGGAATTGTACGCTTACAGGGTAACAAGACTTCGCAAGGGACACAGGGAAAACTCAGGCTTAAATAAGGAACTCAATAACCAATAATGAAACACAGCTGAACATAATGAAACACAAAGAGTCCATGGGGAAACAAACATGGGGAGAGGGTGCCCTCTAGTGGCTCTCGAGGGCACCACGGCTGCTGATCGTCACATAACCCCCCCTCTAAGGAGCGGCTTCCAGACGCTCCTAAGAGCTCCGGGGGGAGGTCAACGGGGGCTGGGATGGAGGGCCAGGCCCATGGAGAGGCAGGAGGCCAGGCACATGGAGAGGCCTGGGGCCGTGGAGCGTGGGTGACCAGGAAGGAGCAGGACGTGATGGCGGCCAGGGCGGAGCAGACACAGGCGAGGTCCATGACAGCCTCGCCTCCATGGCCCTCACGGACTCAGAGGTCCATGTCAGGATCACCTCCATGGCCCCCACAGAGTACCTACTGCCCCCCCCAAAAAAATACTTGGGGAAATTCACGGGAGGGGCCTCTGGGTGGTGAACTGGTACAGGAAAGGCCTCCCGGAGCTTGAAGGGTGCAGGCAGAGCGAGGCGCAGAGGCGGGGCCGGCAGAGCGAGGCGCAGAGGCGGGGCCGGCAGAGCGAGGCGCAGAGGCGGGGCCGGCAAGGCGAGGAGTCTGGGCACGCTCACCGGGGCCTGGCGAACCAAACGAGTCCTCCTTCTCCTCCTGCGGCGGCGCGTCACAGGGCTAGACACACTCGCTGGGCTGGACAACTCACTCACTTGAAGAGGAGATGCAGCGCTCACTTGAAGAGGAGATGCAGCGCTCACTTGAAGAGGAGATGCAGCGCTCACTTGAAGAGGAGATGCAGCGCTCACTTGAAGAGGAGATGCAGCGCTCACTTGAAGAGGAGATGCAGCGCTCACTTGAAGAGGAGATGCAGCGCTCACTTGAAGAGGAGATGCAGCGCTCACTTGAAGAGGAGATGCAGCGCTCACTTGAAGAGGAGATGCAGCGCTCACTTGAAGAGGAGATGCAGCGCTCACTTGAAGAGGAGATGCAGCGCTCACTTGAAGAGGAGATGCAGCGCTCACTTGAAGAGGAGATGCAGCGCTCACTTGAAGAGGAGATTCAGCGCTCACTTGAAGAGGAGATTCAATTACTTGAACTGAAGACTCACTGCACAGACTAAATTCAACACTGGACACACTTGATTCACTCGGCTCAGCACTTGACTCACTTGACTCGGCACTCGATTCACTCAGCTCGCTATTTGACTCACTTGATTCACTCAGCTCGGCACTTGACTCACTCGAGTCGGCTGGCACGCGCTCAAACTCCGGTTCGACCCGCGACACCTCCGCTGTCTTAGGAACAGCACTTTTAACAGGGCCAGTGCGGGATACGGGCTCGAGGGGTCCGACATGATGAGTGGTTTTGGCAGGAACGATATGCTTAGAAGCTCCTCTGACGGTCCTTAAGGGAGGATCAAACAGTTTAGCGAGCTGAGGCTTATGCGGCGTGCGGAGTGAGTGAGAGAAATCCGCCGCATACGAACCTCCCCGGCGCAGGGAAAAGAGCAGTTCCTCGAGACCCTCCTTTTCTGCGGGGAGTTCAAAAGCCTTTCTGAACAGGGCGGCAAACACTTAAACAAAGGGGCAATCCAGAAACTCGTGGTCTAAACAGGCAATGGTCGAGGCAGGCAGCACAGGTTCGAGAGCAGTCCAGGAAACAGGCAAGGGTCAAGAGTCCAGGGAAACACGGAGACACAGAACAGGGAATAACGCTCGGAATTGTACGCTTACAGGGTAACAAGACTTCGCAAGGGACACAGGGAAAACTCAGGCTTAAATAAGGAACTCAATAACCAATAATGAAACACAGCTGAACATAATGAAACACAAAGAGTCCATGGGGAAACAAACATGGGGAGAGGGTGCCCTCTAGTGGCTCTCGAGGGCACCACGGCTGCTGATCGTCACAATCAGTAGGTTTGGTGAGTATACCTATTTTTGCTTATTTTTGTCCCTGTTTTTTTCCCATGCTGAATAGGATTTTCTTTTTTTTTTCTTTTCTTCAAACGATCATAATTTTGTAACATCTGAAGGACAACAGACAAGGAAGGCTCTGATTCTGAACTTTTCAGCCTCGATTAATCTCTACCCGGCCTTTTCCAAACTCACAGCATTAACCCTATAACAGCCGGTGCAAATTCAATTTCACAACAATTATAAAAAGTATTAAGTATTAAGAGGTGTATTAATTCAGGTAGGACACACCACTAAAGATTAGGTGTGAAATGCACTGTTTTTACACGTCATTATGAACGATTAGTACTTAAAGACACCTAATCTAAAGTGAGACCAAAATAGGCTTGTGTAAGCGTTGATTAAACAATTGAATAGTAAATTAAAAAGGAAGTGAATGATTTCGCCATTTTCTGGCGAGACACTTGAATTCATTCGGCGAGACCTGAGAAAAAAACAGATGTGTTTGAATGTAGAGTGTATCTGTTGTATTGCTTTCTAATACATTAAATGATGCTTGTCCAATGATAATTGCTTCGCCAACAAATAGGTTCAATCTTCCATAAGCAGCTTCACAATTCATCTTGTTTGTTCCTAACCTTCCAAAACATGGAATGTCAAGGAATTTCACCCAAAAAGTTAACTATTATAGTCTTTGCAAAAATAGAGACCAACAGTACTGACTATGCATAACAAAAGAAACATTGCTCACAGCAGGTGCTTTGAGGATGGACACTAATGGTTTTGGAATCTATTTTTGAAGGTGGTGGATTTGTTGCACAAGTAGTGTTTTGACAGCTAAAGGGAATGAATGCAGAGATGCAACATCTCTGAGACAGTTTCATCATGTGGATAACTGAGAAGCTGTTTCTCTTCATTTTTATCTGCTTTTATGCAATTATGTTTAAAATGTTAAAGCTAAACAAACTAGATTCCCTTTCAAGGGAAATCGAGCTGTGTAGAGAATGCCTCTGCATTATTCTCTTCTCTTAAAAGAATTGGAGACTTGCAAGCCCTACCCTACGAATTCGTACGAGTGATTAAAAAGTGGCTAATTCGTACTAATTCATACGACCTCACTCGTACGAATTCTTACGATTTGTCTAAACCCAAGTGATGGTTAAGTTTAGGGGCGGGGTCAGGGGTAGGTCATTCGTACGAATTCATACGAATTGGCCAATTCGTAAAATATGTAATTCGTACAAGTGAGGTCGTATGAATTTTTACGAATTAGCCACCTCGTAAAATTCATACGAATTCCCGTGAGATCGGGTTGGCAAGCCTTGTTGGCAGCTCCTTAATGGAAAAAGCCATCCTTCACCCTAGAACGGGTTATGTCCCTAAGGTTCCCACTAATATCGTGGGTCCTATCGTAATGTGGGCATATAACCTGGATTTGGGCTCCATTCGGGGTCTAGCGTGCTTTCGTCTTAGTGTGCACAATGATTTTACATGTACAGGCACTAGCTAGTCTTGTGGCATGGGAATAAGGTACCCACAGTGTTTCAACGCAATTGGAGTTTCCTTGAAATGGAACGTCTCCTGTTACGATTGTAACCCTGGTTCCCTGAAGAGGGAATGAGATGCTGTGTCACCCTGCCATAAGCCCCGTTCACACTACAAGCGACTTTGTCGCCCACTACTGGTTGCCTAGTAATGCTTGTGAGTGATATTCACGGATGTTACCCTATGCTAGACAACAAATACGTTTCATTGACGCTACAAACAAATATGTTGGAAGGAAAAGTCTAAATATAAATGGAATCAGTACATAAAATGCATAATATTTAAGATGAACGAGAAACAGTGAGGGCTCTTTGACATCGCGGCTTTTTAACTGCAGCAAACGGGCAAATACCGGTCTATCTGGGTTCCCGAAACCATTCAGTCACAGAGTCAGTACGGTGAATACCAGTGTATGTACACGGAGATGCATTATGGGTTCTCTGCATTATGGGCACAGTGCATTATGGGTTCTGAAGTTTTCCTACCTTTTTGGGAAAAGGAAAGAAACCAGCATTTCTCTACTCAGGCAGCTCCGATTTTCTCCCCGCCTTTCTACTGTATAGGCAGCCAAGTTTTATTGAAAGTCCATTTTGCCAGCGGTGAAGTACCCGTTTTCAGGGTTGATGTCTTATTTAACACTCATCCACCATTATTCACACCCTTCTCACAAATGACTCAAAAAGACCTGTGTTAGCTTTCCAACCCAACCTGTTATTCTTCAAAATATCAGAATATTATTGATATTGGATAGTCTGTTCTGGAGTAAAACAAACACACACACTAAAATGATACAAAAGTGAATATTTAGGGTGCAAACCCCCTTTGCATTCATAGATTTTATTTTTTTACCTTCTTTTAAATAAAAAGATAATTTCTTTAAAAAAAGAATTGAAATTAAAATACATATTGCAGGCATAGGCGACTCATTCAGCTATTTTTCATCCATCCACCACACGCCCGCTTCAACGTGTGCAGAAAGCACAGCCTTCCCAAACAACGACACCGACAACGACAACAAATTCAAACGGGCAAAGATCAGTCTGATTCTGAGCAGCTGTTGCCACAAAACTTTCAGCCGCAGATAAAACCATTCAGCGTTGCATATTTTGTTATAATTTATTCTGTAGATGGAATATACTGTTTTTTTGTCTCTGGTCTGTAATGAGTCCAGGTGAATCAAACACTGCAGATCTTTTTCAGGATGTCCGGTTGAGTTCACTGGAGTGTGTGGGAGGGAGGATAGTGCTTCACAATCTCTCGATGTCTCTGTATTTCTTGCGTAGGATGGACACCTGGTCTTTGAAGAGCACGGGATCCAGACGCAACTGAGAGTGTAAGAGAGGCATGAAGCCAAACCAACTTGTGAAAGAGTTCATGCAGGACTGACGCTGTGCAAAGTGGTCTGGGTCGGCCCATCGAGACGCCTTAGAGCCCTGAGAGAGAAAGAGAGAGAGAGAGAGGTCTGTGTATGGTTCACCAGGCAGATTATGAATGAGGGCAGGAACATGTTATTGGAATTGGGCAGCACTTTAAAAGACACTGACAAACAGAGTGAACATGGAGTGTTCATTTCACGACTCAGAGGACAGACGACAGTTATGGCCTTACATCCATGAGAAACACTTTGGAAGGATTTCTATCCCCTTGTTAAATAAGCTTACAATCTACTAATAAAGAACTACATGAACCAATCCTTTAAGAGGAACATACAAATACTTTCTATTGTTCACAACTTTCATCACAAAGTCTTTAGATGTCCTTTATATGACCGACTGATATTCCATTTTGAGATTACAATCAGCAAATTAGCCATTTAGCTTCTAGCGTTAGCTTCTAGTTTAAGTTCAAGTGAATTTTGAGCAAATATTCAGTAAAACAATACATTTTTTAAAACTTTGAAACTGTATTTTTCCAAAATACTCCGAACACATTAAAACTACACTGCATTCAGATATGCCGTATTGAAAAAGCTAGTTAACTAGCCTATGCTACAAGCTAATAACAAAAAGTAGCTAACCTACCTACAGTTTTTAAGGGGGCAATGACTATTTTTTAAACTCATACCAGTAAAATTTCTGCCACAAACAGTATTTCAGTACAGTTGATGACTCTGAAAGTAAAATAATGATAGCACTTGAGATAAAAATCATAACAATATGTGATAAAAAGCACACATATTTTTTTTACAGTCAGTTAACATTAGTAATATGTGCCTCATTTTACATTCTTTGCTATAGACATATCCAACCGAACTACAAACTTTCCAGCGATGTCTGTGAAAAAGGGATGTGTGATCAACACGTTCGCGCTCAAAATTGCATTTTCATTATATTGACTATTGTTCACCTTGTTTTGAAAAGATATGTTGGCTACCCAGATAGCAAACTGACATTGAATCAACGTGGAAACATGACATCGAAACAACATTGATCTAAAATTGTTTTGCTCATCGAATTAACGTTGAACCAACGTCAGACACGTCATTCTTTCAAAACTAACGGAAAATTAACTTGAAATCAACGTTGTTTCAACGTTATGAAAGCAAACCAATTTTCGATTTTCATTTAGCTTTGAAGAATGCCGCGTCTGACGTTGGTTCAACGTTAATTGGATGAGCAAAACAATGCCAGATCAACGTTGTTTCGATGTCATGAGAGACGTCATTTCCATGTTGATTCAATGTCAGTTTGCTGTCTGGGTAATTATTCATGCTAAAGAGAGCTGAGTTTTGAAAAAGACAGAGGTAATCTGCAGTTGGAAAGAAAGAATGAAGAAATGTATTAAAAGAGGAGAAGGAGAGCAGGTGGAAATGGGTAAGACAGACAGAGAGAAGGATAGTACAGCAACCTTGCTGTCAATCATTAATCTCACCTTACCATGAAGACATTCATCAAACGGACCAATACTGCTGAATCAGATCAACACACACAGCCCTGGAGCAATCCATCCATCACACACTACACAGACGTTTCTGATCTCAATAGGGAATCGCCCTAGACACACACTCATCTATTTACAACCCATGCACACACAGACTCCTACCTGCTGCATCATGGTCTCCTTGTACTGTTTTTTCTGCGTGACTTTGATTGGCGGGAGTTTGGATACTGCAGAGATGAGGAAATTCATGAGGATATCCTCACAGTTGGCCAACTGGTCCACCATTGACAGCAGAGACATCGGCAGGTAGTATGTGTACAGGTGATGATAATACCTGTCCAAAACAAATAAATATATTAATAAAGATATTATTTAGCTGTGTGAAAAACGCCCTTAATTTGTAAGAAGGAAATCTATATTATCTCTAGCCCTGGCTACTGTATATAGACCTCCAGGGCCATATGCTGAATTCCTAAAAGAGTTCGCAGACTTTCTCTCGGATCTATTGGTAAATGTCGATAAAGCAATAATTGCTGGAGATTTTAACATACACGTAGATAATACAAATGATGCTTTAGGGGCTGCGTTTACAGATTTATTAAACTCCTTTGGGGTCAAACAAAACGTCAGTGGTCCCACTCATCGTCTAAATCATACACTAGATTTAATTATATCATATGGAACCGATCCAACTGATATAGATATTATACCGCAAAGCGATGATGTCACTGATCATTACATGGTGACTTGTATAATACGTACTGCTGAAATATGTCATGTTGCGCCACGTTATAGACCAGGCAGAACAATCCTTCCAACCACTATAGATGGATTTTCAAATAGCTTACCTGATCTATCTAAGCTGCTAAGTGAACCCAAACAAACAGATGAATTAGAGGAAATGACTAGCAGTTTAAGCACCATTCTTACTAATACATTAGATATTGTTGCGCCAATTAGATTAAAAAAGGTTCGAGAGAAAATTAAAGCACCATGGTACAACAGTGCTACGCATGCTATCAAGAGAGAAACTCGCAACTTAGAGCGTAAATGGAAACAAACTAATTTAGAGGTCTTTAGAATCGCGTGGAAAGACAGTATGTCACGTTATAAAAAGACACTAAAAACAGCCAGGGCTGAGCATCTCCGCAAACTAATCGAAAATAACCAAAATAATCCAAGGTTTTTATTTAACACCGTGGCTAGACTAACAAATAAACAGACATCACCAGAGCAAAATATACCTTTACAGTTTAGTAGTAATGATTTTATGAATTACTTCAACGCGAAAATAGAAAGCATCCGAAACAAAATTATAAATGTACAATCCGCTATGGTGTCTTATGATTCAGCTTCAATTATGGACCCTCTAGAACAACTAAACCGCTTTACAACGATAGGACAGGAGGAGCTAAATAAACTTATCATTGCATCTAAACCAACAACTTGTTTATTAGATCCAATACCCACTAAACTACTGAAAGAACTATTACCTGTAGTGGAAGAGCCTCTCCTCAATATTATTAACTCGTCTTTATCTTTAGGTCATGTCCCAAAAATATACAAGCTGGCTGTAATAAAACCGCTCATTAAGAAACCGCAATTAGATCCAAATAACTTGGCAAATTACAGACCCATTTCAAATCTTCCATTTATGTCCAAAATACTTGAAAAAGTAGTGTCCGCTCAATTGTGCTCTTTTTTGCAAGAAAATGATATCTATGAAAAATTCCAGTCAGGATTCAGACCGCATCATAGTACAGAAACTGCGCTAGTTAAAATTACAAATGATTTACTTTTAGCTTCTGACCAAGGCTGTATCTCAATACTAGTCCTACTTGATCTTAGCGCTGCGTTCGACACTATAGATCATAAAATACTCTTGGATCGACTACAAAACTTCACCGGTGTTCAGGGACAGGCATTAAGCTGGTTTAGATCGTACTTATCGGACCGTTCTCATTTTGTCTGTTTAAATGGGAAAAAATCAAAGATAACGTCAGTAGACTATGGAGTACCGCAAGGATCGGTTTTAGGCCCTCTGCTATTCTCAATATATATGCTGCCACTTGGTAATATTATAAGAAAACATGGAATTAATTTCCACTGTTACGCTGACGACACTCAATTATATATTTCATCACGACCAGATGAAAACACTAACTCATCTAAAATGACAGAGTGTCTCAAAGATATAAAATGCTGGATGACGCGTAATTTCCTGCTATTAAATTCAGATAAAACGGAGGTATTACTTATTGGTCCAAAAAACTACTCACAAAACCTCTCACAATACAACTTTAATATAGACGGATGTCCTGTTACTTTATCCACAACAGTAAAAGACCTGGGTGTTATACTAGACCGCAACTTGTCTTTCGAAGATCATATTTCATATGTTACAAGAACAGCCTTTTTCCACCTTAGAAACATTGCTAAGCTACGTAACATGCTATCTATTTCTGATGCAGAAAAATTAGTTCACGCATTCATGACCTCGAGACTAGATTACTGTAATGCTTTATTAGCTGGTTGTCCTGCATCCTCAATAAACAAGCTACAGTTAGTACAAAATGCAGCTGCTAGAGTTCTTACTAGGTCAAGAAAATATGATCATATAACACCGATTTTATCATCTCTACACTGGTTACCTATTAAGTTCCGCATCAACTACAAAGTACTGCTACTGACCTATAAAGCCCTAAATGGTTTAGCACCTATGTACTTAACGGACCTTCTTTCGCCCTACAATCCACCGCGTTCCTTAAGATCACTAAATTCAAGGCTTCTGGTCATTCCTAGGATATCGAAGTCCAGTAAAGGAGGGAGGGCGTTCTCGCATTTAGCTCCAAAACTCTGGAATGGCCTTCCCGATACGGTCCGAGCCTCTGACTCGCTGACACAGTTCAAAACTAGATTAAAGACGCATCTCTTTAGTCAAGCATTCACATAATGCTTACCTTTTATTCCTCTGTTATGCCATACGGAACCGTTTGCCACTGAAACTGCTTAACGCACCAGTGGGGCTCGACAGCCTTTTAGACAAACGGGTCGGCGCGTATGGTTGGGTTGCGGAGAGTTCAGGTTACGGAGAGTTTGTGAGTTATAACGGAAATCATTATGAACATCAGCTATGCTAATTATTTCCCATCTGCCTTTCTGCTGTTATCTCGGGACGCTTGTCCCGAGAAAAATGGCGTTCGTCAGGTCCAGTTTTGTGTCCAGCCTCTCACGGGGATTTCGGATGCCCCAACGCCTGTGATGAGACGACTCAACGCCTGTGATGAGACGACTCAACGCCTGCGATATGTTATGGCGCCGTTTGATTCATAAACAATATTTATATTTAAACAATATGAATGTAAGCCAGAGGAGAACTGGCCCCCGACTGAGCCTGGGTTCTCCCAAGGTTTTTTCTCCATCCAATCTGATGGAGTTTGGTTCCTTGCCACTGTCGCCTTGCTTTTGGCTTGCTTTGAGCTTGCTCAGTTGGGGTTATTTATTTAGTGTTTAGCAATGTTGTTGATCTGTGTTGTGCTACTTACATGTTATCACTGTGAAGCTGCTTTGATACAATCTGTATTGTGAAAAGCGCTATATAAATAAATGTGACTTGACTTGACTTGACTTAATTTGACATCACTGTTTGTGGACTCTTAGTGTTTCCTTTGGTTCCCATTTTTCCTCCTTGTGTTTAGTTCCTGTTTGCTTGGTTTCTGATTACATCCTTTGTTACTATTGGCGCTTTTCTACTGCATGGTACGGTGCGGTTCGGTTCGGTACGGCACACTTTGGCGCTTTTCCACTGCACGGTACGGTACGGCTCGCTTCTGGTCGCTTTAAATGGTACCTGGTCTGTTGAGGTTCCAAGCGTAGCATACCAGTACTGAAATGTGACGTGAAACACTGAAGATCACTGATTGGTCAGACAGGATCGTCACTAACAGCGTCATTGTTACGCTGTGCTAGATTTAAATAGCCAGAAACAGACACTTCTGTTATCGATCATTCCACCCACTTTAAAGCAGTACAAACTGCAGTGGAAAAGCAACCGAGCTAAAGCGAACCGGGCCGTGCCGTGTCGAGCCGAATCGTACCACGCAGTGGAAAAGCGAAGCGAGCCAAACCGTGCCGCGCCGAACCGTACTGAGCTGTACCAAGCCGTACCAGCAGTGGAAAAGCGCCATATGGTTACTCCCCAGACAGCAAACTGACATTGAATCAACATGGAAACGACGTCTCTCATGACATTGAAACAACGTTGATTTTGCTCATCGAATTAACATTGAACCAACGTCAGACGCGGCATTCTTCAAAGCTAAATGAAAATCGAAAATTGGTTTGCTTTCATAACGTTGAAACAATGCGTTGATTTCAAGTTGATTTTCCGTTAGTTTTGAAAGAATGACGCGTCTGACGTTGGTTCAACGTTAATTCGATAAGCAAAACAATGTCAGATCAACGTTGTTTCTATGTCATATTTCCACGTTGATTCAATGTCAGTTTGCTATCTGGGTCCCCAGCTAAAAGACTTATTTTCACTGTTGGTTCTGATAACCTGAAAAATGTCTTCTTGACGTTAGAAGAACGTGCTTATAATGTATCCTCAAAAGTTCTTTCAACATAATTTTGATATAAAATTCTACACTCTAGGAACGTTGATTTCTAACATTCCAAGAACATAAAAATGACCAGTTTGCTTAATGTTACTAGAATGTTATTTAAAGGTTAGTGTGATGTTCCTGAAACATTCTTTCAATCATCTTTCGAAAGAGTAATAAGAACACTAACTACAACTTTCTTCAGAAACAGCCTCAGATGAACTGACATGAACTCTCTCAAGATCTGATTACACAACTCCATAAAAAACATTACCAGCTTCTCTCATTACTAAGCAGACTGACTTTTTCACATGTCTACAGAAGTTCTTATTGAGAATTAACAGAGGTTGAGATGTTGATGTCTTATTGAAAATGTTTTGTTTGAGGTCACCATCATGGAGTTGTTTGCTTTAATTGGGCTCTTGAACATTGACTTTCTTTAAGTTGGTGCTTTATCAGCAATTGCAGGTGTTTATGGAGAACATTTCAACCAGAGAGTTGCCGCAGCAACCACAGAAGGCTCATCGAGATTCACCAGCATGTTTACATGTTTACAGAGGTAAGAAAAGTTTCAGTACTGTAAGGTTATTGTTCGACAGTGCGGGGTCTGTTTTTATACCCAGCACTGACTGGAACTCCCTCCAAGAATCAAATGCCGCTCCAATGTTGACTCTTGTCTTTGCCCGACGCCGACAAAGTCCTTTTAGGTGAGTCTTGCCACTCGGCCGCCATC